TAGGGATCTGGGTGCATATAAAAAGCAATTTTCCAGACACCGCTAGATAGATGTGAACATAAAAATTATTTTTTTTTACAAATATTTGGTAGGTATCCTCATAGGGAACAAAAAAAAATTCAGAGTGGGCAGACATAAAACCTGGCGGTCAATTTAGCGCACTGTGACTTTATAAAAATTGTTAAAAACTTTATTAAATATACATTTCTAACAATTTTTTTGAACAAATTTAAATAAGTTGAATAAAAACAGTAAAAATAAATTAAAAATATATATTATAATAAATCATAATTTAAATATAGTAAAAACTATTTTAATTCAAAAAACCTTTAAAATTCTGTTTTTAATTACATGAAATTATGTGTTTAAATCTTTTTTTAAATTTTGAAATGTTTTAACTAATAAAAACATTAAGATATATCATGTAACTTAAGGTGATAGGGATGCAAGCGACTTTCTGAAATTCGTCAACGCAACAATTTTGACCCTTACGAATGGTGTTTTTGAAACATGATATCTTGATAAAACAAAAACAAAATTGAAAATCCTTTTGCACATACGTATACTATTATATTATACTCCGGATGACCCTTTGGATTTGCATAAATCATTTTACTCTAAGAGTTATTTAAATTTTTTGTGAAAATACTACTTCTTTTCAACAAATGTTCATACAAATTTTTACCTAAACTAAATTTTCTTAAGATATTAAGTGTTTTGTGTAAAATCCAAGGGTCATCCAGAGTATTAGATCATATTAAACGCAAATTGAAAATTTCAAGTCAAATGCTCAACTCTCTCGTGTTATCTTGTTTTGAGTTATAGAAAGTGTGCAAAAAATTGAAAACAGAGAAAAATGCAAAACAAAAATATGTTTAAAAAATAAAAATAATCTCCTCAGCAAGAACCAGTTGATATGTATCTACAGATACTTTTTCATTAATTTTAACAAGAAATTCTTTTTTTCTGGCACACAATCCTTTTCTATACTTTTTCTCTGCAGCCGTGAACTTTTTTTCCATTCGCTTAATTCGTAAATTATCTAAATTTGTTGCAGTTGCCTTTGAAATTTACCCTTTCAAACCAAAGTGTTCTCAAACCTTCAATATTCCTTTGCGGCCATCATTAAAATGAATAATAACTGAGTTTACCCCCATTTCTATGGTTTCCATGTAATCAAATACAGTTTTTAGTAACCTTGACCATATGAGTCTATTTAGGGCCTCATTTGCATTCTGGGTTTTTCCATGCACACATTTTTTTTAACAAATCCTCATCCATTAAATCGCTAAAAATTGGTTGAAGAAGACTATTTATTCAAAAAGGGATTGTATTGGAGGGTTTATAATCCTTTTGGCCCTTGGACCAGTACTTGTACCAACTTTTGGTATCACAGTATTGCATATATGGCTTTTTTCATAGCATAAACATTGGAAAGATTTAATCCAATTGCCATACCATAATAATTTTGCATGGAATCAATGCATTTATCCGTCAGTTGATCTTTTCCAGAGACCGGAGTTTTTGTACCCTTGTAAGATTTAACAAGGTTGCGTAATCGGATTCCTAATCGTTTCTGGACATGTCCAAAGCATTCAAGCTTAATCGGAGTTAAATTATGTTTTACATTTGGTTCAGATCTAACAACATTATCAAAAGATGAAGTATCATCATCACCAAGATATTTTTTGTAAACTATGTTGTGCTTAATAATTGACCGGTTAAATATATCAACAGCACCACATGACTCCATTGCACCAGAGGATTTTTCATGACTTTTTTGACAGTGGTGATCAATTTTCCATAAATCATATTGAAGTGAACTTTTTTATTCTCCCCCATTTTGCATCCAAAGCAGTGCTTTGACTTTACTACCATATCCAAACACTTATCACCTAATATCGCAGTTACTACCCCATGCAAAGAGGCGTGTCCTCGTTTTTGCCAGGAACCGTCAATGGAAACACGTACACATTTTGTGTTATCTACTAAATCTATTTTTTGAGCTTCTTCAGCAGCACGTTCCATACTACTCTGTGCAACATTTTTGTAGGCTGTCATTAATTTCTTGTTCAACAGTTTATAACAGAATGATGTCATGGACTTCAAGCTCATGGTAGAGTAAAATATCTGCATAGATAAAAATCCACAACCTATTTCCCGAAAACCAATTACAGCTCGGGCATTTACATCAAGTGTTTTGCAACCTTTAAAATCACTTTCTGAATTGTAGGAAGTCTTAGGAGATGTATAAAAAGGTTTCATCCAATCACATATTGAACATTTTATAAGAATACAATGTGTAAAACCCATTCGCTTTAAATGTTGATTAATAACAACAACGTTAGCAGCACAATCAGGACATGCTATAAGTTCGTGACAAATATTTGCTAACACATTAAAATGAAGAAATAAGAAAAAGTCTTCAATATTATTAACCAAACTCTCTGGAGTTAGACTGATCAACAGTATAAAAAATCTTTTTTACTAAGGATGATTGAAGGGATTCACCAATAACACAAGGTGTCACCGTAAATTTTGGTCGTTTTGAAACAATACCAGTCCATTTTCTTTTTTTGATTCGAAAAAAATATTTTTTACTTTTTGATGTGTTCTTTATATTCTTATTTTTACTACTATATTCATGAAATTACATTGTATTAATTATTAAAACAATCTAAATTTAAAGACATACTGTTCTCTAAAGAATAAATTTTTGTAAATAATATAAATTATAAAATGTTCAATCAGCTTATTTATCTATCTGAGTAACGTTTGTGACTTCAAAATATGATATTTAGACCGTTAAAGACATAGTAAATACATCCTTGTGAATGTTCTGAGTAAAATAAGGCATATATTATGAGAGGAAAATAAAGAATAAACTTCTGTTCACGGTAACTAGGAAAGTTGCTATGTACTCAGAGTGTTTTAAAGTGTAAATATGGACCAAGAAATATTTTTTATTATTCCCAATGTTAGTTGTATGAAAATAAACATATCAAAGGGTGAAATTTCAAAATAAAAAAAAAATTTTTTTGATCATTATTTATTTATTTATTTTTTTATTTTATTTTTTTTACATTTGTTGGTCGTATTACAATTATATATTGCCAAAAAATAATGATAATAATAATAAACTTTCAAAAATATAAAACAAGGTATCTAAAAGAAGATCAAAGGATCTTGTTGTCAGAACCTTAAATAAGTTCAAACAAGCATTAACAAAGGTAACAACAGTATTAAATTTCTACAAATTTCCTAAGTATATATAATATAATCCAAAGAGAGATCACGCGGATTTACTCACCAATATTTTATATACCAATATTTTATATATATATATATATATATATATATATATATATATATATATATATATATATATATATATTTGCATCCCTACCGCCTTAATATATAGATTCCCATTGACCAATCATGTCATTTATTACCGCTTTAAAATGGTTAGTCAAAAATGACAATTTAAATTGTAACATAAAACACAAAATTAAGTTCTAAAGCTTTCGAGTAAACAAAAGACCTCATTTAAACAAAATCAACTGTAGCAAGATTTTTTTAATGCAAACACGAAAGAAAGATCAAGTTCTGAAAGAAAAGATGGAAGGCCAAGGCCAAAACAATCAAGGCCAAGGCCAAAACTTTCACAACCAAAACAAAATTTTTTTAGGCCAAGGCCTTAATTTTTGATCTTAACGCAAGGCCAATGACTAACAACTCTAACTTAAACGAGAAAACTACTACAAAAAAAAAAAAAAACTAAAAGATTTTAGAAGGAAATTTGATAATGCTAGTTCTAGCTGAACCTTTAAACCTCACTGATATTGCTAACTTAGATGAGAAATTTTCTGAGCAAACAGAGATATCTTCTGATGAAGAACTTTAGCTACTTCTCGGCTACAAAAATAGTTTTCAAAGTAGTTATTCTTAGTTAAAAAGTAAAATACTTTACGCATAAACATTTCGTTTTTACTTTTAATTATTCCCTTCCCTTATATTTCCCATTAGAGTAGTGATCGACCGAAATTCGGTTCGGTTCCGGTTTCGGTCATAAATTTGGCCGGAATCGAAATTCCTGTTTCGGTTCCGGCTAGATTTGAGATTTCGGTTTCGGCCGGAATTTCGGTTCTAAATGCTACCGAAAATAGATATTATAAAACTTTATTTTAAATAAATTATTTAGCATTGTAGCGTAAATATATTTTGATTAAAAAAATTTAAATAATTTTTTTGCTAGTTATTTCAACTTCTTATATTATTTTTTGCGTCCGATCGCGTTGTTACTTTTATCTGGTTTTTAATTATCATGTTTAAAATATAATGATTTACAAATTTAATGACGCTACAATGTTATCTACATTGTAGAGTCATATGTTTATGGACTTGATTATTTAATTATTTTAATTATCGCATGGAATTGGTAACGGTAAAATCTTTACGAACTTGGTGATTTTTTTTTAAATTATCACGTGGAATTTGTTTGAAATAAATTAAAAAAGTTTTTATTGGTTTCATTCATTTTTTTAAAGCAAGTTGTTTTAATGTTTTCTCGTCGTTAAAACATTAAAACAATAATGTTTTCTTGTCGTTATAACTTTTTTAATGTTTTCTCGTTTAAATTGTTAATTGTCTTTTTAACGAACTTTTTAATGTATTGAACTTTTTAATGTAACGTAAGAAATTTTTCTTAAATATATATATATATATATATATATATATATATATATATATATATATATATATATATATATATATATATATATATATATATATATATATATATATATATATATATATATATATACACAGCCGGATTTTGGGGGGTGTGGGGGGTGTAGCACCCCCCTACTTCAATTATTTAGTAAGTTTTAGTCGGCAAATTTGATTAAATTTGTTTTATTGTTAAATTGATAACGAATTGTTAACCAATTAGTTGTGGTTATAAACGAATCAAACCGATTTATCATATCAGTTGTGTTATCAGAAAGCATAGATAATATATTTTCTTTTATTATCTATGTCAGAAAGCCAGTTTTTATTTAAATTGTATTAATCTGCTGTGTTTATTGATTTATTGACTTCTCGTTTTAATATCTTAATAAGTGAATATTAATACTTAGAGATGGATAAAAGTAAAAAAAGAAAAAGAACAAAAGTTGAGTGTTTAACTTGCGGTAGTGTATTTGATGATGACTATAAGACGAGACATGAAATTAAAGAACATGCAGGTAAAAAAGTTTTGGTCAAGCATTTTGGAGCACCCGAAAATCCATTTACAGCTGCAGCTGCTATAGCCAAACAAAAGAATGACCGAGCACACAGTGAAAAAGTAAGATTTTAGTAATATTAGTTAATTGTTTTTTCTTTATCAAAGTAAAATATACACTTAGATTCAAATTTGAGTAGATACCTACCTACATGGAATTTTTTTTTTTTTTTTAATATTATGATTTATGAGTATTTAAATGGTTTTTTTACTTTCAGTATTGTTATAATGTTTTAATTGTTTAAATAAATTGTTGGTCTCATTAATATTATACATTTTGAATTTAGAATAAATTTGAATGTCATGAAATTGAAGAATGTACCAGTAATCATAAATCCCCTTCACTGACTTCAAATTCTATACAAATGAATAGTGCTAGTGAAGATGAACAAAATAAAACAAAATTGTTGGTATGTACCTACCTATATTAAGCTAACGTTTACCTCTGTGTAAATATTATTGTATTTTTTTAACAAATGTTATTAAGATAAATAATTTAGTGGCTTCATAAATTTATCACTTGATTCTAGGATAAATCTACTGTAGAAATGAATTGTAAGAATAAAGATGAACAAAATATATTGGTATGTATTATATGATATTATTTTAAAATTTATTTAATGTATGATACTTAAAATCAACTCAAAGTCAATTTTAAGTTTATTGTTCTATTACCTATACTAGTTTAATCATTTTTAGAATGAATCTCAATCTCATTTATTGATAAATAATGATGAGCATGGCAATAATAAAGAGACAGATTTAGGTAAGTTTTATTTTTATATATACGATTGGCGTATATATAAAAATAATTATGAGTTTAGGGCCATACCAACCCAAACTAGCAACACATCCAAAAAGCTCAGATATACCACAAGGAAAACAAAACCAATTTAGTTTATTATGGTACAAAGAATTTCCTCATCTAGAATATAGCATCGTAAAAGATGCAGCTTTTTGCTTTATATGTTCTTTATTTCCTGAAGGTCCGGGTAGACATTGTTCTAATATAGCATGGGTAGAAGGTGGTGTTAAAACATGGCATAAATTCAAAAGTAGAGGTAAAAAAAAAGAAGGAAAACTAGCTGAACATTTTTCTTCTTTATCACATAAATCAGCTTTAATTGATTTTAGCAACTTTTTGAATAATTCTTATCATATAGATTGTATTTTAAATAAATCAAATCGTCTAAATGCCATAAATATAGAGTATCAAAAACATTTTCATCAAGAAGTGATTGCAATGTTATTTGATATCACGCGGACTTTAGCACGTCAAGGATTGGCTTATAGAGGTGAAGGTGAGAATAAAGAAAATAGTAATTTTTATCAGATCGTTCAGTTGTTGTCACGACATTCACCAATCATGAAAAAATGGCTTGATGAAAAAATATTTAGGGCACATCACGTAACATATTTATGTCATGATTCTCAAAATGAGTTCATTAGTTTACTTGCTAGTGAAATTAAAAAAAAGTTATTAAAGAAGTAGTGGATTCTGGTATGTATTCAGTACTGGCAGATACTACACCGGATGTTTCACACAAAGATCAATTTGCAATTTGTGTACGGTATGTGGACTCTTTTGGGAAAATATCTGAAAGATTGTTAGAAGTTTTTGAAGCTACTGATAAAACTGGATTGAGTATTGCAACAAAAATTCATAATGTTTTACAAAATAATGGATTGCCGGTTAAAAATATTGCATTTCAATCTCATGATTTTGCTAGTAGCATGTCTGGTAAGATTAATGGCACACAACAAAAACTATCTGAAATTGTTGGCCACAAAATTCCATTTATTCCATGCCAAGCACATCGGCTAAATACTTTTCTCGAACATAGCTGTTCTGCAAGTGTTATTATTAGTGATCTATTTTCTTGTCTGGAACAACTATATGTTTTTTTCTCTGGGAGTACAAAAAGGCATGCACACCTTCAGGAAAAATTATCATTAGTTAAAGACGCTTTACAACTTAGAAATCTTTCAAAAACTCAATGGACTGCAAGGGCTGAATCGATTAAAGCTGTATGGATATCATACGAATCAATAATTGATTCACTGCAAGATATGACAAATTTAAAACCTATAGACAAAAAAACATGTAGTATTGCATTGGGTCTTTCTAAAAAAATTCTGAATTTTGACTTTTTAATTAGTTTTAATTAAAATTAGTTTATATTTTATGAAAAACATCATGTACAAAACAAAAATTTTAACCGAAAAACTCAAAGTCACAGAATTAAATATAATTGATGCATTGATATTAATAACGCATGCAATTGACAGTTTAGTAGAAATGAGGAATGATAATAAATCAATTGATAATTTAATAGAAAGTGGAATTATATTTGCTAAAAAATTGAATATTGACCCAGACGCAAATTTTAATAGACACCATCGAAGAAGATTGCAGCCTAAAAAAATTGACGAAAATTCTGATACACAATGTACATTCAATTTAAAAACATTTTATAAAATGGAATTCAAAGAAGTATTTAATACTCTAAAAACTTTGCTTTCGGAACATCTAAAGAATAATATTTTGATTGTAGAACCTTTAATACATATTTTAAAAGTTCCACGGGAGAAGAATAGTTGTTCTACAGATAGTTTGGAAAAGGCCCTGTGAACTAAGTGTGAAAATATTCCCTCCTGGATGCGATGAATTTAAAATAAATGATTTTGATGGAGTTTTAACTTGTTGGATGTTTTACACCACCAATGTACGAGTAAAAATATTTTTAAATTAATTGATATGCTTAAGGTGTCGGAAGAATTAAAGCAAATTTTGCCTACAAGTAATAAAATATGCAGATTAATTTTTACTGCTCCTGTAAGTACAGCATCAAATGAGCGGGCTTTCAGCAAATTGAAAATAGTAAAAAACTATTTACGATCCACTATGAAGGAAGACCGTTTACAGAATTTAATGTTGCTAAATTGCAATAAAGATTTCACTGACTCAATTGACATTGATCAGATAATGAAACATTGGGGTCTTATTAAAGAAAGACGAATTATAGTATAAAAAATTTGGTTGTAGCTCATGATTATGCATTTTTTACTTACTGAATTAATTATTTAATGTACAAATATTCTGAAAAACTATTTTGATTTATTGTAATATACTTATTGAAATTATGATATTAACCTTCCTTCTTTATAGATTTATTTCCTATTTTAAGCCGTTCCTACACAAGGCGCCTTAACATATTAATCCCTACAATTGCCTAAAATTATCACATTTGTGGTAATTTTTGTGATAAAGAAATGATTTAAATATGGTCACACTGTTATAGTGCCACAAATTAGTTTAAAAACTGGATATTATAAAACCGTGAATAATTTAGTCATTCGGCAAAGAAATTATGTGGAATGTATGAAATTGGAAAAAAGTTGATGACCTTTTTTTGCTTATTTACACAGTATTTGTAGTCGGCATTTTTACAATTTACACTCTCCCCCCCCCCCCTACTAATAATTCTTAGCGCCGTCCCTGTATATATATGTATATATATGTATATATATATATATATATATATATATATTATATATATATATATATATATATATATATATATATATATATATATATATATATATATATATATATATATAAATTTGGTTTATATATTTTTGAATTACCAGAAAATTTTTTGGTACCAGAAAGTGTTATATAACTGACTCTCATCAATATATTTAATCAGATTACAAAAAAAAGTTATGTATTTTTTTTTTCCACCACACACCCACTCCACCCTTTTAGGGTCTGAGTGCACATAAAAAGCAATTTTTTATACACCCCTTAATAGATGTGAATTAAAATTTTATTTTTTTTACAATTATTTGGTAGATAACATCATAGAGAACAAAAAAAATTTAGAGTGGGCGGACATAAAACCTGGCGGTCAATTTAGCAAACTGTGTAATGCTAACAACTATTAACAATATATCTTTAATTAAAAGATGTTAATATTAGTTGTTAAAATCAAGCACAATAATACAAAAAATTAAAGAATTAAAAGTTCTTTAAAAAAAACTTTTCCAAAATTACATAAAAATTCTTTATTTTTATGTAATTTTGTTTTCGGCTTTCATATATATCTACAAATATAATTTCTTATTGACATCGCTTAATTTTGTGCATTTAACCTTGGCCTAATTTCATAACATATGGTTTTATTGTCACAGCACATTCTACATACAGTTTTGTAAATATTTGGCCTTAACGTAAAGCCAAAATTTAACTTTTTGGTCTTGAAAATGTTTGCATAGGCCTTGGAACTCTTATTTTTGGCCATGGTCTTGAAACTCTTGTCCTTGGCTTTGTCCTCGAAACTTTTGGCCTCGGTCTTGGCCTTGGCTTTGTAATATGTGGTCTTGGCCTTGGCTTAGTAATATGAGGCCTTGGCCTTGATTTTGGCCTTGTTAACTACTCTGATCTGAGGTAAGTAATAATCTATTAAGACCGTCAAGGTTGCAAGACTCTCTGAAAAACTTTTTGGATTGTTTTGGCGGTGAAGACAAAAATATTTATTTAGCGCTTTAGCTACTTATTCGAGTAGTTGACCAATAGAAAGCAAAACATTCTCTGTTACAATAACATCAAGAATATGGACTTTATGCGTTGCAAGGGTTATCGGATACCATAGATATAACTCAATATATAAGTCTGCAAATTTTACAGTATAATCCCTAAATTTTTCGGTATCAATTTTATGTTTGTTTGATATTATTTCCAGTATCAAACCAAGAAAAATTTCCAATAAAAATAGTGTACTGAGTACTACTTGTGCTTTAATTCAAGTTCTTTAACAAATTTAAAAATGGCTTAAATACCAAAAACTATAAAACACAAAAAACCATTGTAATCAACAAGTTCTCTAAATCTATCATTCATTAAATATTTGTGGTCTTTGAAATAACTTTTCTTCTGTTGAGTCTTACCTATTGCTAAGTTCACCAGACTTACTTGCTCTTTGTGAGACTAATTTGAGTTTGGCTGTCTTATCTTAATGTTGATGGTTATTAACCATTAACACTAAGATTACAAGATGAAATGTGACTATTAGATTCTTTACAAATTAAAGAAAGATAACTATTGGTTATCTTCTTTTAATTCGTAAAGACTCCAATAGTCACATGTTTGGCCTAGGTGTCTACATTTATAACAATTTACCCTATTGTCGGGAGACTAGATTTGAATCAGACACAGACTATTCTTTTATGTGCTTTCGTTTAGCACCACTTCACTCTATTGCCTTTCTCTTTGTTCTATATCGCTCTCCTTCATTCTAAGACTGCACTCTATTCACTTATTCTTCTTCATCATCAGAATCCCCCTATCATCTTACTCCTTACAACATTTAAGCTGACTGGGACTCTTTTCGTAATTTTCGTTTTCCTGCTGACAAGTGTGTTTCTTATACCGTCTAACTACCGTCCCATTAGTCTTCTTACTATCATAAGCAAAGTTTTTAATTCTTTAATTAATGAATACTTAATTTCTTATCTTAAATCTAATAAATTACTTTTTGATCATCAATATGGATTTTGATCTTCTGGTTCTACTGCTGATTTGTTAACGGTAATAACTGATAGATTTTATCGCGCATTAGATAAATGAAGAGGTAAAGCTATCGCTCTCTACATTTTTAAAGCTTTTGATAAAGTTTGGCATGCTGGTCTTCTCAATAAGCTTTCTTCTTAAGGTGTATCAGGTAACATCTAGCATTACCGAATCCTTCCTTACCAACCGTAGTATAAAAGTTGTCCTCGATGGAAACCACTCTTCTTCATATCCTGTAACTTCAAGGGTTCCTCGAAATTCTCACATCTAAAGTTGAATTGTTTGCTAATAATACTATTATTTATTCTTGTCTTGATAAAAAGCTTATGTTTTTGATTGCTTAAAAGGGGGATTCGAGTTTGAAAAAGATCTCACTTCCGCTACAACATGGGACTCTCAGTGGCTAGCGAACTTTATCTCATGTAAAACTCAATTTTATTCAGCTAGATCTTTCTATATTTATGAACGATAATGCACGCGATGAGTCATCGACCATTCATCTTCTAGGATTAACTCTTCCGATTATTCTTTCTTGTAAACAAATCTTTTACAAAATTAGGATCTGCTAAGGTTGCATCTCTTTACCGTGCTTGCCACTTTTTTACTTAGGACTCTATTCTTTATCTCTATAAATCTCAAATCCGATTTTGTATGGAATACTATTGCCATGTCTGGGACGGATCTTCAAATGATGCTCTTTCTCTTTTAGAAAAGGTGCAAAAACGCATTGTAAACATAGTTGGACCTGCTCTTGCAGCCAACCTCCAACCATTATCACATTGTTGTACTATTGCTTTTCTTCCTTATTTCTATAAATGCTAAAATGGGTACTGCTCTAAAGAGCTAGCGTCTCTTGTGTCATCTAAAATTCATTCGCGTGTTATTCGTCATTCTTTTAAATCTCATCCTTTTACTGTAACTGTCCCTAAGTTCCTCATTAAGTTTATCTCTTCATTTATTATATCATTAGATCCTTTGACAAATCCAATTCTTATACGTGTGACAATAACGTGGTGAAGAACGAGTTGGATTTCACCATATCAATTTTTATCCATACATATACAATATTTATCTATACAAGTTAATTGTAACAATACAAAAGAATTTCAAAATATACTTGCATCAGAATCAGTATTATTAAGAAATTTGTGCTTAAATTGATTTTGCTGTGATCTGTCACAACCTCATTTACATTTTAATACTAATAAGTTTCTTTCTTTTTTGTTTAAATTTTGTATCACTTCGTCTAAACACATTAACAAACGTGTAACCGTATTGTCCAAAAAATCTTGTAAATTGACTGCAATACAAGTTTCAAAGACAAAATAAGATTTTTTATTTGAAAAACAATTCACTTTTGCCTTTTGCAGGCTACTATAGCAAGAATATTGCATTCTATAAGAATTTTTAAAGATTTCAGATTGTCTTCGGAAAGACCAGCTTCGACAAATATGGCCAGTGCACCCAATACTAATAGCTGCGCTTTATCTTCCTGTAATACGTTAGAATGATACTTTATACATTTTTGGCTGTTTTGGAGAAACAATATCTGCCATTAGAATTTCTGAAGCTGTTCTTTCTACTTTAACACCTTATTCCACCTGAGCAGCACAAACCAATGTTTCAAATCTGTTTCATTTAATTCTTTAAAGCTCTTCGTTGGATTCAATATTTAAAATAAACTGCAAATTAAGAATTTACATATAAAAAAACTTTTTTTTCTTCTTCAATTTACTTACATTTTTTAATAAATTTATTATTTTTTTTTTATTATTACTTTTTTTTAATACTAGAAAGTATTTAAAATATTTAGAGTATCATTTGCCGTTTGAGAATTTATCAAGGCAATAATTACGATAATGAAGACAATAATGAAGATAACCAAAGCAATAATTAAAAACAACAACAACGGCAGTACAAAACTTTTTATATCCATACTGTTATACAAGGATTGGATGATTGTTCATACTGTGTTATCCAAGGATTTGTTGCAAATAATGCTTATCCTTTTGATAAACTGCATACTCAAATCCAAGTGTCCACTGAGCATTATTCTTCCCTGACATGTTTTTTTTTAAATGGTTTCTTAATTACTTTGCAATTAAACAAATATAATTTAAGTAATTATTTCAATAAAAAAAGTTTATAGTTATAAAAATATATAAAACACTAAAATTCTACTCGTCTAGAACAGAACGTCGTCGAGAATCTTTAATCGTCGTTATGCAAAAGAAGCTTTATTGGAACATTGTCATGAACACCTTGCAACAGCAGTTCGCCTTCAAATGTGACTACCTTCTTTCGTTTAGCTGCTCGAAGCGTGCCAACCAAAGCTATTTTAATCAAAAATAATAAATGGAAAATTTGTATAAACAATTACGTGGCAATTATATCGTAACGCAAATACTTATACTAAAAAAGTCAAATAAAACTTACACAACAATTATCATTTTAGCATATTTATGTAGGGGAGAGTGGAGCACCATGATACATAAGGCACCATAAAATTGTGGAGGCATCTTAAGAGTTGTGATAATCACTTTCATATAGTGAAAAAGTTACTACAAGAGCTATGTTTTGAAAAAAAATATATATCATTTGACATAATTAGGCCTGCGAGAAGTCGAAATTTGTGTTTTTTTGATGACAAAGTAATTTATTAGTTTTAAAAGCTCATAAGTTTTAAGGTATTTCATTCAATGTGTCTATCTTTAAATAACATTATTTTGTAAACTACAATCCATAAGCTCTTTACTTCATTAAACAAAATCATTCAAAAACAAGTTGATATTAAAAATAAAGCGCTTGTTTTCTATTAGAAACGGTGGGGTAACTTGATACAGCATTTGTGGGGGCCCCTAAAACTGTAGAATAGTACTCCATTGTGTTATAAACAAATCTAAAAATCATTTCTTTAATATTTATCGTCAATTTTTAAAAAATTTATGTAAATATAATACAAGGAGATACCATTCCGATACAAAGCCATTATTTATTGATACTTAAGAATGACACTTAAAACGATATAATATCCGGTCTTCTGTAATGTGATTTGGACCATTGGATGCATTATTAAAAATCTGAATTCTGTATGTTTTATTCTTTTTATTTACTTTTTTTTAATGATGCTCATAGAGTGTATCCAGGTACCCCATGGCTGGGGCCATAAAACAAATTCTTAATTTTACTTTAAATAGTCTCACAAGTATAACCTCTTATATTTTGGTAATTTATAGATTTAACCTTGTTGATACAAGTTTTACTCAACAAATTAAACCATGTGCCTAAAAAAAAAGACGTATTAAATAAATTGTTATGAAGCAAAAACCAAAAGTGTGTCATGGTGCCTCATTCTCCCCTAAAAAAAAAATCATTTAAAATTGTAGAGCATGTTTATCTGTTTTTCATCACACTACTGCAGATTTTTTTGATACAATTTAATTTATTTAAAACCTTACTTAAAATGTTACTCATACATAAAATAAGTGAAAAAATATTTTTGATGTTCGGAAGATGTTATTTTTCACAAATACCTATATATAATTCTACATAACTATTTACACCTTCTATATAACTATATAAACCATCTGTATAACTGTATACAACCACTATATAACTCAAACAACTGCTTTTCAGACAGTAAAATTAACTATGAATATAAAAGATTTAATTTATTTATATTTGTAAAACATTTTCGACCCTGTTAAGTCAAAAAAAAAAGATGAAGACAAAGGTAAATTTTTGAAATAGAATGATAACTTATTTTTATATTTTAAATATATTTTCTCTACTTTTATTTTGGACATTTTTAAAGACAAAATCACCATTACTACAAAATTATCAGTAGTCCTGAAGTTATAAACCTAAAGTCAGGTTTGGGTAACACACCCTTCCCAAGCCTTTAATGTCACACCTTTACTGCATACTGTTGTTATTACACTATACAAACTTTCTTTAAAATATAAATATTCTTTTAAGAAATTTTAGATGCAGAAGTTGCTTGCAAACATGTTCCTCTGCACCCAGAGGTGTATTGGAATATACCTTTTAACAAGTTATAAGCAAACCAAAACTATCCCCAAACCTACAACTTGTGAGCAAACCAACTTATATAAATCCCTGACTGCCCCAATTCTAGAACATGGTCATTAAAAGTTGAAACTTTTTTTTCAAAATTCATAAACAAATTGAAAATTTCATCAAAGTTCTCCTCTATTTTTTTTCTATAGCTTTAAACAACAGTTTTAAGTAGAAATTATATTTTTTTACAACTAGATAATGTGAACGCTCAAACATTTCTTATTTACTAAATCTAAATTAAACTTAGATGAACAAATCTAAATTAAAATTTGATGAACCATTTTGAGCACATGTTCAGTCTGGTAATCTAGGTCTGAAGAAATCAATAAATAGTCATTGTAAGCACCAGGTTCACAAGAGATACAATGTATTCATAATAATATAGTGGTTTATATAGATGCTCTTAGACAATTTAATTAAAAAGATTTTAAAATTTTAGATGTTTTAAATAAATAATACAAATAAGAGAAGTAAAAAAGAGCTAGTTGCTAATTTTTTTTACCTTGGAGAAACAATCAGCTAAAGGAGAAAAAAAGGCATTAATGGCATGAGTAAGGCGTTCCTGAGCCAAGGTCATAGAATTATTTCAGCCTCTAAAAACAGGAGGAGTAATATTTAAAGTTATAGGAAAATTATACACAAAATACACATAAAGCTGTACAGAGTTTTATAATGTAAGGCAGTGAAACAAAGGCAACAAAGATCAATGTCCTCTGAAAAACAACAGCATCTGGAAAACAACAGAAAGGATGACATTTGTATGAGTGTATAATGCTTTAAAAAAGGTGGATTTTTTGTGTATCATGTAAAGAATCAGATCTTCATATGAAGAAGTTTAAAAAACCTTAAAAAGAGCCAACAGAAAACTGAGCTTTAGAGCTGTAACCTCATTAGGAGATAACAAAAGGAGATAACAAAAAAGTTGCATAGTCACTATAATGAACTACTTACTGAACCAGGCACAAGTAAAAACCGTAGAATAAGAAAATCCACTGTTCATCATCCAAACCAAAAGCAATTTAACACAGGTTTACATATGCGCTAATCTATTAGATAACAAATGACTGCAAGACTGGTCAACAGAAATGTTCTGCTTATCCTTAAAATCTTTACGTAAGAAACCAATGAAGAGCCTAAAGACAGAGGTATTTTCTAGTATTAAACTAAAAAAGCAAGTCCTACAAAGCAGCAGGACATGTCGCAAATTGTAAAAGATTGCCAGTATTAGGGTAAACATGACTCTGATCATAACTTAACTTTAAAAAAAAAAAAAATCATCAGTCAGAAAAACAAAAACATTGAAAAAATTACTAAAACATTTCAAAACACTAAAATAAGTTTTAAAAACATCCTGATAATTCACAAAACAAAGTAAATGATATTTGTACCGACAACTTTTTTGTTGTTGGCATCAACCAGAAAAATTCAAGTTTATTGTATATAAATAATCTTGCAAAGAAATAAAAAAAATTACCTTCAAAGATATTAGCACACCGTGTATCATTAAAAATCTTTCCGAACAACACTTCATATTGACCATCCTTGTTTTTTGTGCCTAGTCTTTTGATTTCTTGAACAAGAAGCTCTACTTCATGGGCAACATTCATTATTATACTATTTTATCTACAATTGAGTATAAAACTATTAGCAAGATTTAATTAAAAAAATGTCACATGGTTGGATAAATATTACACTATGTGTCTTTTAAAATCTAATGTAAATAATTTTGTAAGTTGTTAATTAATACATTTAGCACTCAAAAATATGAGATAACATTCAATATAAAAATTTTTTCAATTTATTTAATTTTTTTATTTTATGTTAAAGTTTTATAGGAACTGTTTTGTGAAAAAAAATTATTTCAGATATAATTATTATCATTTTAGCCTTAAATAATTAGTTTTTAAACAAATTGAAAATAATATTAATATAGTTGCTCATTTTGATTTTAAAAAATAGACATTTTATTTTAGCTATAAACATAGTAGCTGATCACACATTTAATTTTTTTTTTCTGAAAAGCAGCTCAAGCTTTTTTTTGACAAGAACAGATAACGATTTTATAAAAAATACTTGTATCATATAATATTATAATATATATATATATATATATATATATATATATATATATATATATATATATATATATATATATATATATATATATATATACATATATATATATATATATATATATATATATATATATATATATATATATATATATATATATATATATATATATATATATATATATATATATATATATATTCATAAAATTAAATATTGACCTATATTTTCAGATCGTTTATACAGGTTTTATTAATGACACCTATTAAACTCATGTTTAATTGATAATGAAAGTATTAAACTTTTTACTTTTTATGTTACAGGAAAAATATTAAGTATTTACTTAAAAAAAAAAATCAAGTATAATCTCTTTATTTTTTTAATCTCAAAAAAATTTAATCATCACAAGTAAATTGCTCTGTATCCTCATCGGTCAAAACAAATTCTTTTTTTTTAAATAGTGTTTGATAAGAAGGAAGCCTTGATTCAGATGGAAATTTTTTGGATTCAATATGACACATCATTTTCAAGTAACACTCTTCAAGAAAATTTTTACGAACTTCAAAATTTCTTTTTGCTTCTTCTTCTTGTAACTTTCGTATTACAGATGTCAACCAAGGTTCTTTTTCATTTTGCTCATTACTACAATGAACTTTGTATGCAACCAACCCACAAATAGGTAAAGAAATTAAAAACGAAAGTCGTGAGCGAGACATTTTGCTGGTGTCTTTAACGTAAACTTCAGAAGTTGCATGATTTGATCCAAAACGAATGTGCCTCATTTGAAATTGCTTGCAATACTTTAGCATGATAATTTTTTTTTTAAAGAAAAATGCTTTAAATTTAAAAATTACACCTAAAAAAAAGTGAAAAAATAAAAAATAAATAAAAAAACTGAAATACAGAAAATGATATAAAATTTCTTCTGGAAATGGAAAAAAAACAACAATATTTAATTTAAAGGATAGTGAGGTGCTAAATCAAAAATCACATATTTTATTAAAAGGGAATCTTTAAAATGTATTTGTGTGTATGTGTGTGTATGTGTGTGTGTGTATGTAATAAAACAAACTAATGACCTTAATAGCAGTATCAGTGACGTTTCATGTGTAGTCGAATTATATATGCGTGTATATATATGCATTAACATCTGCAGTCACACTAAAATAGCCTGCTGCCAGGGAATTCAGTACATACATTGATTATTTTATAGCCTACTGCTGCAAAGGAGTGCTGCTACATTGACTGAGTTTGGGATAGGTAACAATCTTTTCATTATTCTTCATTTTTTTCTTCTTTTTTTGAAAAAGTCTTATGTTATAAAGATAATCAAAACTAGTATGCATATATATATATATATATATATATATATATATATATATATATATATATATATATATATATATATATATATATATATACTGTCAATGTAGTGGTACTCCTTTGAGACACCAGGCTATAAATCAATCTATATACTAAAGCCTCCAGCAATAGGCTATTTCAGATGACATCTCACTGCTTATCTAAACAAGCATTTATATGTGTGTGCGTTTGTATATATATATATATATATATATATATATATATATATATATATAGTATTGCGCAAATTAGTTCGGACAGTGGCAAAATTGGAATAATTTTCACAATATGCCCAACTTTTAGCTATGATACTAAAGATTCTCTTGTTTTTTCAGATAAATAAGTGTTTTACTGTAGCCTAGTGGTGTCTGGCAACTCTTTGCTGCCGGGAAGACATTCTAGCAAATGCATCAGTGGCTTCAGTGCTACTCCAGGCTTTGTGCAGAAAGGTTGTGACGGAGGTGCTACTCCAGGCTTTGTGCAGAAAGGTTGTGACGGATTACACTGGCCGACAAAAAAAAATTTTTTTTTTGCTGCCGAGGATATTTTTACGAATTTATAGTATATCGGGTGTGCTGATTTCAGAAATGATATTAGTTTTCCACGATTGGCTCTAGTTCTTGAGATACAGGGTGTTCCAGATATATTCTTATACAAATATCTTCGTTCATGCATATTTTACAGTAAAATAGTTTTATTTCTTTTTAAAGGGCATACCTTTATATATATATATATATATATATATATATATATATATATATATATATATATATATATATATATATATATATATATATATATATATATATATATATATATATATATATATATATATATATATACATTATATATATATATATATATATATATATATATATATATATATACTTTTTCCTGTTTTTAGAACACAATGAGTTCTTCACGAAGAGGATGTTTGAATAACCCCAATGCATTCTGCCACATCTGTGGTGAATATTGCCAGGAGAGCCAAAGAAGAAATATTACTAACTTTGTGAAGCAAGCATATCTGGCATACTTTGGAATGAAACTCGGAGACCAAGATAAGTCTTGGGCTCCCCATATTGTATGTAAAACGTGTGTCGAAAATCTACGTCAGTGGAAAAATGGACAAA